GCAAGTGTAGTATGCAATCACATGTTTCACGAACGCGCGTTTACGTCGCTGCTAAAAGTCACGGTTTGTAACCACTCTAAGCAGTGTCAAAATTAATGAATCATTATATTAATAACTGTCCATTTTGGTGTTTATTTAGTAAATATCATTACATTACGGATTTGTTGCCGTCGACGTGAGTGATTAAGGTGTGAGATACTCATCGGGTCGAGGCACCGGTTGTCTCTGCGCACACCTGCCGCTCGCCTGCTCGTATTCAGACCCGACTATTACGTAAATTACGTTGTTATTAGTAGCAAAACGCCCTCTGCATTTTACAACAATTTAATTGTGTTATTTAACGCTTGTTTTCGACTGACAAGGTGATTTATCTATCAAGCTGTTATCTGTCTGACAATTTCGCATAACTCCACCTTTTCGTGGACGGGCGGCTCAGACACGATCTTTTATTTTACTTAGTTAGTTACAATAAACCGCAGTAAGCGTGAAAATATAAACTGTCATAACTATTTATTCAAATATCATAGCGTTCAAATTTACGGTTTATAACTTGATACTTAAATTGTATAGTCTTGTGTGAGGCTGATTGTACTCTCTCTTCTTAGCAGTGCAAACTTTTATGATATTTACTATAGTAACTATATATAATAATATACGATATTATAATCAAAGTATCAACTGGAATATCTTTGCTGTTCGTAAACTGACACAATAATTTTTGGTACCATTCTCTTACAATGATGTAAACAGACCAATTGCTCTTTACTTTAAAACACGCCATGTATGTAAAATAATAGTCATATACAGTTAAAATAACACAAGGACACTGACACTTATATATTAAAAACTGATGTATAATAATGTTAAAAAAGTTAAATTTTTTTTATTACATTATACCTACTTATTACGCGCGCCGACGCACCCAAATACGAACACACAAACACACATGAGAACGCGCACACACATTTGCAACCATGCATACACACGCACCCATATTCGTACACTTTGATGGCAAGCAAATAGTACTGTTTTGGTTTTCTTGGACTTTTATTTAATTTTTTATTGTTATTATCTTAGAATAATAACGCATAGAAACCTAGCCCGCACACGCTAAGTGAGGCAAATTGAAACGCGCCCAATGGGCCTACACGAGCGGGCGGGCCTTCCGTGCTCAAGGTCAACTTGCACCGCGAACAGCTCCAGAATTTTAGCTAAAAATGACGAAATGTGCGGTAAATGAGTGTAAAAATACGTCAGACAAACAGAAAATAGATACTAACATCACATTCCACAAGGAAGTAACGCGTTTCAACTTATATTTTTATATAAATATTCACTAAAACCGAAAATTAACCTACTACTAAAACTAGCCTACATGAATTTGATTTTTGCCTCACTTGTGACAGTTCGTTTGATATGAAACTATCATTCTATGCGTTATTATTCTAAGGTTATTATTAAATTTACCATTCATCTCATTTATAGATCAAGTCCGAGTGTGGGAAGGGGGTCGGAATATTGAAACACAGGGTATCCTATAGGTTTCGCTCTCTGACAATGGCCTAATACATTGTATGTGAAGTGTTTGTACGGAGCTACTTTAAAATCAATGCCGTTACGATTGGAAATAAATAATTCTTATTTTTGTTATTTCGGGCATCCATTTAGATTCTCACCTCTCCCTTTGTACTGGAAGTGATAAGGCCATTATTATTATTATTACTAATACATTATGTGCAATCCAATAAAACGACAAATGAATTGGTGATGCGTTGTCGCAGAGCTGGAATGAAAACGGTGTTAATAACTTAATATGAGCTGCGCCTATATCCTAAAAGCTCTTTCGCCGACATTAACTATTCATTACCTTGAATTTTAGCCATTGTCAAGAACGCTCACAGCTAATAAATACTATTTAAAATTTTTTTGACTGTTTTTGTCGTTAAGTAAATATCTTTCACTGTCACAGTCCGCTTGCCTGTGACAGAAAAACGATGTTTCCTGTTTTACATTGACATGAAACTAATGCTAATTATAATTACACCTTCGAGGCACACTGAACATGTAGCAAAAACTGAGCATGAGAACGCTAGATTGTCATGACTTTCATACGATCGCGTTAGGCCATCAATAGACTCATGCCGACATTTATATCTCATCTACAATATGATACAGCAAAAAAGTGTGTGCGCTAGAAATCATAAGGCGTGAAGCTAATGAGGAGCTTCTATTATTAGAAGGGTGCATAATACCTACGTTGCCATTTGATTGAAAAACAAATATTATTACTATAGTCAATGATTAAGTAACATTTGTTTTGTTTCAATTAGTTCACAGTCACTTAGAACACCTATTAAAATTTGCACATAATTACGAATGCTATAGAGATCGATTGTTATCTAATCAATACACCTTTTTTTGTATGTACAGCACAGCAGTAGCCGGTCGTATACAATGTATATTTTTAATTGAAATTCTCTGTTTATAATTGGTGAATTGTCATTGCGAAATTCACTTTGATATATTCAACGATGAGTTTTAATTGGCAATGTCTACATTTGCAGTTAGCAAATGAACAGTAAAATGCGCTTCTTACTTCTTATCCTATAGCTTTGCTATGGAGATGTTCGTCGTTAGAGTTCCTACTTACGATTTATATGATAGCATAGAATTTGTTGCAAATAGGGTAGTAATAAGATATGCGTAACAAGTAGATTGTTGACGGCTTATTTAATATTATGGACGTAGCGTGCCATGTATTCGCAATATTTACATTTCCAGTTATCAAAATGAATACGAAAATGTGCTTCTTACTTCTTATCCTATAGCTACCATGGAGATGTTCTTCGTTAGAGTTCGTACTTACCTTATATGCAATTTTATTTACTGAAATGGGATTTGTTGTAAATAAAGCAATAAGATATGCTTAGCAAGTAGATTGTTGAAGGCGTATTCTAAAGTATGAACATAGCGTGTCGTGTATTCGCAATGTTTACATTTCCAGTTACGAAATGAATACGAAAATGGGCAATTTTCCTCATTGGACTTTCTACTTACCTCTTATACAATTTATATTGTAGTATGGGATTTGATGTAGATAGAGTAATAAGATATGCTTAACAAGTAAATTGTTGACGGCGTATTCAATATTACGGATATAACGTGCCGTGTGTTAATCGATTTGTATGAGTTATCTCGTTTACAAATCTCGTATGATCAGAACTCTGTTCTACGTAATTTGGATACATACTCAGCGTGGTTTTAGGTTGCGACGCACGTGTTATGAACATGTTCGTCATGCCGACAAACATAGATACAGTTTCGATAATCTGATACAACATTCATATCTAATAAACCCATGTTTTGTAACCTTTACAATTTGCCGCTATCAGCTTGCATAAACGGCTTGTCTATGTCAAATCTACCTACACAGGTCTATGCCGATAAAGTGCAGAAAAATGATTTTTTATTATTCCACCTTAACGTAAACGCGTATATTGTATGTCTAGGTAATTTTACAGTTATTTTGAGAAGGACATGCTATAATACTACGTAATGTGAGTATGTAATTGTAACCGAACATTTAGACAGTTGCTTAAATTAAATTAAAATGTTTATTGTTTTCTTGTGGTAGGCCCATGGGTTATGCAACAGTTGGTTTTATCAACTTATGAACCCAGATTGCCACGCATTACAAATGATTTATTTTTGTACGCAGTTACGTCGTCGGGGAGTCCCATATCTTTCTACATAAGTTTTGTTTATAGTGCCCCTCCCTATCAACCTCTTGGTTAAGCGGGAAGGGCACTATGACCTGTGCGAGCGAGCTCGAACAGGGACCAATTAAGTCACCTGACTTATATTTGATTCGGGGTTAGGACCTCCTAACCCCGGATCAGCACGTTTGCATGTACTTCATCCGGTTCTCTGTAAGGCTAATGCCTTAGGTGAGCCGCCTCGGGTGCACGTACAGCACCCTCCCTATTTTCCAGATAGGTACTGGAGTTGTAGGAACCCCGTCGCGCTCCGCACGACTAACGGTTGCCACCGCTGAGCCGCCGACTCCAAGCTGACTACCAGATCTAATTGGTGGCGGAACTGTAAGACACGCTCACTTCCCGACGTCGAATGAACGGTATCTCTCCGGTTTCCAGATGCCTATGCGGCTGGAGGGACCGGAAGATGTCTAGCTCATCCTCTACTAGCTCTCCGGGCTAGTGCCAGAGATACCAAGTGGCAGCGTCCTTCGACAATGTCCGGATATAGCCACCGACTTAAAGGGCAACTCACGTGTCCCGCGCGTGTTCTCGCCTCAAGCCCTCAACTAGACCGCTACTAAGACGCGCTAGCTGCGCACGGGACGGACGCCCCGGTCACAACCTACCGGAGCAGACGAACGTGTTACTCCCTGCAGCTAACCACAAATTCCGATGAGTCCATACATAAGTCCGGGTCCGCCAGAGACGCCCGTGAAGATGTATAACTGGCGGAGGGTTTGGTCCAGACACTCGCCATACCCCTGGTCTTGCCGTCGAGCCCGAAGTGTCTCCGGAAAACCCTATCTCTCGGTTCGATAGATAGGGACGTCGTTGAGCTGTCGATTTTCATCTGTTTTCGGCTTCGACTCGAGGAATAAAACAAATGAGAATCGCATAGAATGGTAGAGGTGAAAAGTAGATGGCGCTATCACGAGTTCGATGGTTTTATTTGTTTATCCTACTCCCGTCTACCTTGTCGACGTCACAGTCCCCTCCCTATTTCTGTTGAAAATGTCCAGAGTCCAATGTCCGGTGAAGTTAGCGACGTTAATTATGCCAGCCTAAACTCCCCAATCCTGACAGTCGAATTCCGAATTGGGGTGGTCTCGTGGGTAAATTGAATTTAGTGAAAGCCCGTTCGAACCTCTAATACTATAATGACATTTGTAAAATATACAATGGTCGGTGTAAAGTTACCAAAATTGTGCATCATTGGATGGATTAAAAGTAAAAGGAACTCACCCATTAAAAGGGTAGCCAGCGAAAGCGGCGTCGTATGGGTGGTAGACCGTAGGATAAGGCCAACTCGCTGCGCTAGCTGCTAAATTTTCTTTCAAGTCGATTCCTGCAGCCTGTGGGACAAAACATAATAAAAACATTAAATACCCTGTGGCAATCAAGCGATCAGTACATTCTTAAAATCTCGTTATTCAAAGATTTATTATGTTTCCAGTAGCTTCAACGTAATCCATTACAAAAATGATCCCCAACGGATTGATTTCTTGAGCGATCGCTTTAGCGTTTCGTCTTAACTATTATTATTTAATGGGCGAAGATACGAGACGAATGCATCAATCATCTCTTAGTCGACAAATGTATCTTTTTTCTTATGGGGACTCTTGAACTTTGCTGTCTATAATGTCGTTGAGATAAACAAACGATTACACAGTCATACAAATGAATATTGTTTGAGTTTAGAGATTAACGGCTAGACCATTAATTATATGAACTCGATTGTTTAACTTATGGGAATTGGTTAGTATTTGATAACAATATGAATTAACCGTATCGGTATTATATCTGAAATTGTGCCAGCCATTTACTGTTAGTATTGTTATACATGCTAATGTTAGTATCAAATAAAAAAGCACAAACTTTATACAGAAATCGCATACATAAGAAAGTCGCTAAGGGACAGGGTAAAAAAGTTATAGCGATGCATTAAAAATAACTCAGGAGCGAGTCTTAATGCGGTCAGCCAGGATAAATCTATCAAAAGATTTTGTTGTCCAACAACTTCATTGGTGGCCGAATCGAAAATCCGATAATAAATTTTACTCAAGTACGACAGCGTAATCCAGTCGCGCTGTCGCTCTTTGTTGCTTCGACCTTTGGTATAATTCCTGTTTTCTGTTACTTCAGATAATATAATAGGACTTAACCGTGACGAGAAACTACCTGATTATAAATCACAATAATTTTAAATATTTTCATGTAAACTTATGTTGGCGTATTTGAAAATATACTTTACAAAACAGATTGTGTAGAGCTTCTGGATTTTTTAAATATTATTAACACCGACTGGGAGAACTAGCGGCTGGCGATACCATGACCAAGCTAATAGCATAGTTGTACGATGGAAGAACGCTGCCAGCATCTTGGACACCACCCGATTTCGTCCATTTCAAGGTTTTTTTAAGGGAGAAAGGTTGGTGAAAGCTGACCCAAAATCAACGAAGTGCCGTTCATGGATTTGCTAGTATAATTTTACGTTTTATTTTATACCAAGTTATTAATATATTTTTAGAAGTCGGGAATAAAGAAATTGCAAAACAATGTATTTTAGAATATATGCAAGATCACAACGCCATTTATTCAGTTCGACCATAGATTAGGTAAAGTTCTTGTACGTACGTTTCATTTTAAGCAAGATTGTATGTTTACCTATCTAAAGTAATTAAACAATAATGACATAAAGTAAAAAATAAAACACAATGTGACAAAAATGCTTAGACAATATTTATATGATAGATACGAACGTTAGCAAAGGAACATTTTGACAAGAGGCCTCTTGCCAATGTCAATGTCACTTTGAATTAATTTTTTTTTAATTTATTAAGGCTTTGGCAAAGCCATCAGCCTAAACATGAAGTTTAATTATGTTTCTGTAAATATGGCCGCCACAAAGAGGATAGGCAATTTGAAGCGGCGTGCTTGGATTGACTCGGGATTCCTTAAAACGGGCCGATACGGGTATTTTAGTTCGAGATTCGTATAATTTCGCGTTTTAATCTTCGATTAAGGCACAATAGCACTATCCTATTCCACTTTAAACTAGATTTCACAAAATAATTGAAAGTCAAAATAAAAACGACACTTTTCCCTCCAAAAGTTCCAGAGCGAATCATGTCACTTTGAGATTGAGAACAGTGTGACCATTTGTGGCAGATTTCTGCCATTTGGGCAGATATAATTTTTATTCATTTTTAATGCGTCAGAACGTGTTAACGTTGTCTTAAATGTGGCAGAGTTTGGCAGATTTAGGAATATTCAGCAAGTTCTTTGTTTATTTTTAGGAACAATCTGAAAACTTGTCGTTTTCTGCTACTACGAACAAACATCTGAAGCGAAATACAGGACAATGTTATAAACATAACCTGCATCAAGTTTATATAGTTATAATCTCATTTTCTACAGGCTGTACTCACTTAGATTTTTCGAAACTTTTTTTAATGAATCACAAGTATTTCTATAGGTCTCTTTAATGCACGTCGTCAAAAACACTGGGTCACAAAATACACGGGATGTTCCCATCCTTCTTTTATATAATAACAGGCATAGTTTACCATCAGTCATGTGCCTGATGATAAACTACGCGCCTCTCCATAACAGTTGCAGTGCCACTCAGGGCTTTTAATCGCAAACATCTGAGGGTCACTGCCACTGTGCCTGTCACCCTGAGACTTAAGCTGACAAGTCCCACGTGCCTGTAATTTCACCAGCACCCTTACCTTTCAAAACCGGAACACAATAATGCTGACATTATTGCTTGGCGGCAGCAATGGGTAAGGTGGCAGTACCTCTCTGGACGAACTCTTTCACAAGGAGCTCTACTGCTGTTAATGTAGTTTTAGTTGGAATTTGTAAGGTTTTATTTATGTTATTCTTTTATAGTTTTACGAGTATATATAAACGATTATGAATTCGATATTATATAGGTACTAATACTGCCCGATAGTAGACAATTAGGTACTTAATAACCCGCTAATTGCACATTACGTAATTATGAACGGGATTCATTAATAATGCCTATATTTTTTTCTATTTTTTTATGACACAACGTGACGGGACGAACAAGTCGTGCGCCAACAGTTTCAGTGCCACTCAGAGTTTTAAAACTCAAAATTTCACTGGTACTGCCACAACGCCCGTCAACCTGAGGTAAAAGTTGAAAAGTCCCATGTGCCTGTAATTTTATGAGCACCCTTCAAAATCGAAACTCTGTGACGTTCAAATTATTGCTCGGCGGCAGAAATACGGTTGCAGGTACTTCTCCGGGCGAATGCTTTCACAAGGCGTTCTACTCCTACAATAATGCAAATAATAAAACTTATTACGTAATTACCGTTGTCTATAATAATGTGTCAGGCAACCACACCAATCCAACCTTGGTCTCAAATTATGACAGTCCCTGTACTTTGAGAACAGCCTTTTTTTTGAGAACACCCTGACAAGAAATAATTTTGAAAAGTTTATTTCTCTAATTTCCTACTGGGAAATGGTGACTCAAATGGTGAAAATTTTACATTATACTTACATCTTTGTTTGTATCGCTATGTAATGTGCAATCCACCAATTGCAAAAATTCACACAAGTCAACGTCCGTTACCAAAGTTAGGAACGAAGTGAAGTTGAATGTTTGCTTGATTTTCACAAAGTAAAACAAAAGAAATTTTTATTCATGAATACGAGAAATTGTATTGAATATTTATATTCAAATACATACCGTGTATACAAGGTTTCCACTGAAAAAAAAAAAAAGATCCTAATGAAGTGGATTTGCAGCTTGTTTGGCGAATTCTTAATTGAATCAACTACGACACAAATCAATTCACTATTTAAATTGTTGCCGCAACAATATGCTTGACAAGTTTAGATGGAAATAAGTTACTTATACGATATGTTGTTTAATACAATAACTTTTTATCAGTTTGGGTAACTTTAGAATGTGAGTAACGATGGTACAGTGTCTTCACCTTGCCCTTGCGATAGTTGCTAACCTAATCTAACAGCAAGTCTATTCAACAGAGGTTAATTTAAACTAATTTGACGCATTCCCTACCTTACCTTAAGCCAGAAGAGCAAGTTCTATTTTTAACCGACCTAAAAAAGGAGGAGGTTCTCAATTCGACTCTGTGAACCTATTTCGTTGATTTTTTTTTTGGTAAATGGTTACCTCAGTAGTATTCTTCTTCTTCTTAAAGTGCCTCTACACCGCCGGAGATTGCCCGTCGAAATGGCAAATTTATCCCGTTCATTGCCAAACGAAACAGTTGTTCTGCTATGTAGCGTAGCCATGACTTATTACGTCTTCCAACGCATCTCTTGCCTTCAACCTTTTCCAGCATTATAGGTTGAAGCAATTCGTATCTATCTTGTCGAAGCACGTGATCGGGATATGTTACTTTGGGCTTCTTGATGGTCCGCATCAGCTGGCGTAAGTTGTCAATGCGTAGGAGTATTGATTCGTTCTTGACTTTCTGTATCCAGCTGATACGAAGCATGCGGCAGAAGCGGTAGTGGTAGTTCATTCAAATTTGAAGAAAATATTCCACCTCTAAAAGATGCAAATTAATAATCTGGTCTATTGAATTTAACCCACTTTCCGTTAACCGATGTCAATAAAACTTGGCAAATCGATCCATAAACATTTAAGGTTGTTTTTTTTTTCAAAAAAAGTTATATAAAATTCTTAATAATTAATAACCTATATAGTTGTAATGTAGAAATGTTTTAAAACTATTTTCCAATGTCTATCTTAATAAATATTCATTAACGTTCTCCACATTACGATATTATGTCGTACTGTAGTTACGTAAAAAAATAATAAATCTTACCACCTTTGATGCACCGGCCAAGTGCGACACAATAATCTTTTGATAACATTAAATTGGGTTAATTAACAATAGGGAACATAATATTTTCCCATACAAAAAGTCCTAATAAAAATACGTCCCCTTGTAATGGGTTCGTGTTACAGCCACTGTAAGGAACCGTTTATCCATTCTCAAATGTAACCTTGTTTAAACTCTTAAAATTAAAATATTATGAAGCATAAAGAACAAAAAGTAGCGACTGGGTTGGCAAAATTATGAAATCAATAATGCTAAGTTCAAATATCTCTTTCATATTTTCATACAAAGGCATAACAGCAAACGGAACTTAATAACACACCTGTATGGTATGTATCTGTGTGACAATATTATATTTTTAGTAGCTACTGCTACTATATTATCACCTCCGGAATCACCGAATCACCTGGATGATCTCTTTTTCTAAGGAGTTCTACTGAGCTCCTTGTGAATCCAGGGAAGTACTTCCACCTTACCTATTTCTGCCGCCAAGCAGTAATTTGAGCATTACAGCGTTCCAGTATTGAAGCGTAATGGTGCTGGTGAAATTATATGTATATAAAACTTATCAAATTATGTCTCAGGGTAACGGCCCTCTGATCTTTGCGATTTAAAGCTCTGAGTGGCATTGCAACTGCCATGGATACGTGTGTCTCTCGCGACCAAGCGCATGACCACCACAATTCAAAACAAAAATTCTCACAACCATCAATTTCTTTTAACTATATTTATGTGATATTATATTACATACGATATGATGCAACTACGTTGCTCACCATCAGGAGCACGATTTGTTCGTCCCATCACTTGACATCATGAAAAAAAAAAATGATTTTGGTAGATGTTTCTCTGATATTGTTTCCTTTTAAATAAAGTAGAATATAAAAAAAACGTAAGTTTTGTTTGTATTGTGGCCAAGAGCCTGTCTTCTTTAATAAAAAAAATAATGAAAATTAGGTCAGCGGAATGAAATTTCAAACGCTTTGCGTCATGCTCAGCCAGTGTTCACAAGAACTTGGCTGAGCACTACTTTGCGCTTTGATGCACTATCATAATCGTATTCAGTCGGTATTCTGTGCGCTTAAACATAATCCTTCAAACGATTCCATGGACACGCAAGAACTGTTTACATTTAAATAGGTAGAATAGCAAAAAATACTAGTCTTCCAACCTATAATCTATGAAATCGGACAACTAACAGTAGGGCTAACACGACAGCACGCGACTTTGCGAGACCGACGTAAAGCGCGAGATATTGCTATTTTTGTATTGAGAATAACAATATCTCGCGTGTTTATGTCGCTCCCGCGCATTTCGCGCCCTGTCGTAGGTTAACAGCAAAATTTTAAATGTTGTGACTACTTAAGGACTCTGGTGTTCTGAAATCCTAATAAATGAAATATAAATAATAATATACCTTGTTAATATTTAATTAGTACAGGGTCAAGCTTGACACTTAAGATTTAAATCCAACTCTATGCCGTTTACGATAAGAACGGTCCAAAGTACAAAGTGCCATGCTTGATGTGTTCTTGACTGTACATCAAGTAAATTTAAAAGGCATCTCAAGACTATAAGCAAAAAATGAAACAATAGTTTCGAAATTTTTTTAAATGCTTGTGAGTTTCTAAATATTCTGTCGTTTTACAAGTAATTGAATTAGATTTGTAAATCTATGTCAACAAAACGTGCATGATAAAATCTTAAAATAGAAAATTTTAGCTAATGATACGTCGATACAGCACAAAGTATTTTTTTCTAAAGAGCTATTAGAGTGTTGTAATGTGTCGTGATTCATTTTGGGATCATTTCATTAGAACTATAAATTCTCACTTTTTTCAATTCAATAACGTCCGTTTCCTGCGGCAACGGTGCCACATGTGCAAATGATATTAAGTGTGGTCTATTGAGCCAAGAAAATATTTTGACAGCTACTTAATGTACTTAATGTATGTATGTGTATTTATTTTTATACGGAACGTCAAAGGGTACACTGTTTGTTTATAATTTTGAAAAGGATAAGAAAACTAAGGTATTCAGACACATTTTAATCTGACACGTAAATTTAACACTAAACAAAACTACAACCATAAAAACATAACTTTAGTGTGTAGATCCACCCCTTAGAGTTAAAATGCAATAATAAATCGTAGACAAAATAAAAGCGTGAAGAAAAAACTCTGAGACAGGATCCTATTGAAGGTGAGGCGTCCGGGCGGTTTGAGTTAACACTTTCGCCACCGATGATATATGATCATATCTTCATGAATGATTGAATCATCTGCCGGGACACGTTCACGGCCCCACCTTTTAACACCTTCCTCCCAAAGTTTTACTATGCGTCATATATTACACTCCATGGCTACTTTTATGCTGTTATGATCATTATCATTCAAAGTCACTACCCACACACGTATCATAGCGCTTATGTTCTCGGCCCATAAGTTTTTGTGTTTACCGAACTTGTAAAAACTGTATAAATATTGCTTTTTTCTAGTATTCTTCCAGATAACTTGTATTCACAAAACTCATTTAAAATGCGTCAGTTTTGCAATGCGACTACGTATTCTCTATATTAAACGAAAATTTTAAGTAACTATTACTTTGATTTATATGTTAAGGTAATGTAGATAGCAATTTAATCTGTCTTTGGAATCTTCGTGGAACCCAATGTTATTCATTAATATAATCTCTGAGAAAGAAACTCTTAAACATATTAAGTTATTAAACTTAAACCGAATCGAGGTAGAAATAACTTTTTTTTAAAACGGTGTACAAAAGAACATGCATCACCGGCTTATGATTCTAATTTATATGTATTCTTTATAACCTGATTGTGGTGCCTACTTAACAATGTGAAAGACGCTTATACATACTTCTTTAAGGTACTATTTTGACATTCGATCTAAATTATTTTATAACAATAATACCCTTTGTGGAAGATGTCAAGGATCAAAATTGAATAAATAGAGGTGCTATGCTGTAGACGGTCGTAATCCGTTGGTATTAGATGATATCTCACTTTCAAGTAGTGGATATGAGTCTAAGCTTTTGTGAAACTAATTATTCTTTGTCGTAACTTAATGCGATTAAGCCAAACATTTTGTTAATTATAAATCAGTTACAAAGATGTTGGTGGTAGTATCATAATATCTTATAAGGCAAAATTAATGAAGTAATATTAGTAAAATTTTAGAAATTCATTTATTGAAATCGTAAAAGGGTCGCTATATGACAGGGCATCTACTTCCGTTCTATGTCTGACGTCCGTCCAAAATAATTAATATCAAATAAGTAATTTTCGACCAAATAAAAAAAAGCATGATACGAATGAAGCTTCATATTTGACATTATCTTTTGTTTGAGTTGACTCCCAGGCTTTGCGAACTGTAACCATGCACAATGTTTTCAGGCATGACATCACGGTTACAATGCATATAAATGTTAAAATATAATGTTAATTTTGCTTAAGCTTGTTTCTAGAAACTGTCGTATTGCTGTCTGCATTTGTGATGTCAAATAAACATATTCTTACTACATGGTAACTTCACACCAATACACAATACGTATTTAAAAAAAAAAACCTTCAGAAATGTTGATTAATCTTGAAGTACGTATAATCTTACTCAAGATATTAAACTAACGTACTTTTATCGAGAAGAGTTGCGTTGTTTTAGGGAAGATCATAAACATTTTGCAGGTTAAACAATTTGTTGTATGTGTATGTTGATTCCCGTTACGATGTTTGATTATTTCAGTTAGATTAAATTGACTCGTCTAACATGAAAATAAAAGTGATTATTAGTAATCACTTATTACAATCTTATCTTAATAAGCTTGAGTTTTAGTAACACTGACTACACATACCTACTACTCCAACGATTCTTAATAAGCAAGGACGATATTATCCAATAACGAAGTATTTTTCGTCAACTACTTAATGCTGTTAATCAGATTACTAAAACGGAGTACGATTTCACTCGAAGTAAGCCTTATTTGAGGTGTACCGGAAATAGTTTTGATTATTAGGTACATTGGTAAAAGAACTAACGGATATGGATGACAAGTTTTGTTTAATCTGTAGAGCTATCGCTCTCGCTCTAGTCGCGCTTTAGTTACTAAACTGCTATCTCGTACAGAGATCTCGCGTTTTATGTCGCTCTCGCGCAAGTCGCGCCTTATCATGCTAGCCCTACAGTTTGTATTATTTACAATTACAACGGTAATACTTACAGCATTTGGATAGAAAGGAGGTTGATCTGCCGCGAGTGCTGGAAAGTAAGCAGCCATTCCCGCCGCAGTGGCTGCAGCTGCGTCCGAGTACGGTGCGCTGTACATGGACAGGGGCACGCCTGACGCGAGCCTCTGGTAGTTGAGAAACTCGTATTGACACGAGCATACTGTCTGCCCTGTGATAGGGTCATGGAATATGGGGCGGCCGGTGTCGCAGCAGCGTGGCGCTGCGGCTGCTGGCGAGCTCGATCTGGCTGCGCCGCTCGCTACGCCCGCCCCACCGCTCATTCCCGCCTGCGCCGGCGGCGGACTGTTGGAGGCTGTCGATATGGTGCTCTGTAAGTTGTAAATTTTGAAATGCCTTTATGGCGCGTTTCATCATTCGCTTTTGCAGACGTTAAAACTGAATTGGAGGCCTCCGTGCGCACAGCGAGTACATTACAGTCGCAAAGCAAATGCAATATTAAAAATACATGTGGTATGCTTACATGGTCGCATCAAATCTAATGGTACTCTACCCTTAACTAAAAGAAAAGAGTATTGACTGATTAAAATAAAATGCAGCATGAATAATTTCCCTCGATTAGCATAGTGATGGAAAATAAATGAGCGTTTAACGATTGTATGCAAGGGAGAAACAACTGTAGGCGTGCCCCGTACGTCGTCAACTGTAGAACGACCCACAGAAAACAAATTGGAAACGCTCCAGAAACCCCTTTCATTATAATGTGTGAAAAAATTATATTGTATGTCGTCCTGACGCTAATGCGATACGATTGAAGAATTTCAAATAAAATACAATAAGTCCGATCCCAGCTTATTGTTGTCATAATAGATTTATTCGCCGGACTACCTGAATCGATATCGCGGTCGCAAAATAAACATCCGCCCGTTGTCCGGGCATAAAGCAGAAGATACGAGTCGAGCTGGTGCGGCCTTTTAATTGAGCACTGTGCAGATTCAAACGCGGGTAAATAACTTTCTAAATATTTGTCATTGGAATGAAAAATGGGGCCCAGCCGTCCAACATTTATTGTGTTCTCAATGGGATTAGAAACCGAGATATACCACCCGACTGCTTATGATACAACTGTCAGTTATTTGAAAGGAAATCATAATTAATTCTTCTTTTGTGCGTAATTTTTCTTGTTAATGTAGGATATTTTATTTCCGCCAGGAATATAATACATGAATTTCAATTTATATTTAATTTGTTTTTTATTAGGATGTAGAAAATTTGTTGTTGTTTGTTTTTATGTGCGGTGTAAATACTTTATTATTATTTAACTGTTAATTAAGTTAAGAGCTAGTATTGCCACGACACGACATAATTAAGCCTATAGTAAAGTCACCTGGCGGTTGACAGTATCCTAAGCTGGAGTTGTGACCCGTCTGTAGAGAAATATGGCTTCAGTCACACCCTAAACACGGGGTTCATCACCGACCATGCTTTTATCGTATTTACTTCTACATCGTATTAGAGCATTTTGTTGACCTACCGTGACCGCAGTCGCCCCGGGCACACATGCACCCATTGCTATCGTACAGGCTAAAAACATTTGTTGTGTTGAAGGTATTATTAAGGTAATCCTGAAACCGTTAAACGTCGAATCCCTGCATTACCTACATTACGTAGGGAGTTATTTAATCCTTGCCCGCTAACATTGTTGTGTAGTTGTTATATACATTCGTTGTGGGTTACAGTGATATAGGTATTTTGACAATAAAATTGTAGGTTGTTGGACCTACTGACTATTGTAATAAGGGTTGTATCGATCTACTGGAGTAGAGAGGTTGCCACTGAATCGACGTCGGTGCTTAAAAGGGATTCAATCCATTGAAACGGTACGAGTGTCTGTTGGATGAAAGACATAATTTCCGTAGTAAGTACAACATGCTCTGTTTATCCACCCGGTCGGCCATTGTGGATAGCCGTACACGAAATTTTCATTAAGTTTGCGAGTAGAGTATATTGTAGGTATTTGATAAACGACGTAGACATAAAGTTATACTTAATCGTAGTTTAAAATATATTTCACTTTAAGGTTACAAATAGCCAATTTGATCATACAAAGGGGAAACTATGCTGGCCTACTAAACACAAGAAGACAGTTTAAGCAGCAGTAGAGCCCCTTGTGAAAGAGTTCGTCTAGGGAAGTACTGCCACCTTACCTATTTCTGCCGCCAAGCAGTAATGTCAGCGTTTTGGTGCTAGTGAAATTACAGGCACATGGGACTTGTCAACTCATGTCTCAGGGTGACGGGCGCAGTGGCAGTGCTCTCAGATCTTTGCGATTTAAAGTTCTGAGTGGCATGCAACTGTTATGGACAGGCGTGAGGCTTACCATCAGGCGTATGACTTATTCGTCTCGTCACTTGATGTTACAAAAAGAAAAAGAAAAAAGACATCTTTGAAAAGTACCCATTTTGTTCTGGCCTGTTAAATGTAGTTAATGTATTTAGTAACTGAGGTTTTGTAATCTATTATACCCAATTTCCTGTCGATGAATTTCCTATCCATTAAGTACGTTCAACCTATCATATCTGCCGATTGCGATGTCCCTCTGAATGGTAATATAAAGAAGAGACTTGTCTTTATCAGTGGTACGATTGTTTCAATTCAGAATTGGCTACTAGTCTCCAAATCTTGTCATTTGAAGTATTATATAATGGAAAAATGAACGTGTTGAATGGAAAGTACACACATGTTCGTTGCAATGTTAATGCATTTAAAATATTTTCTGTTTACATAGTCGAAAATGACGAACGGCTTTGGAGTGGAATTTCCTGTTTACAGGCTTGTTCTAACTTGAGTCTTTTCAGGCGATAGTGAAGAGGCATTATTTGGATGTGCATGCTTCATCGTCGACTTCATGGTCACTTTCCATCAGGTCAGAGCACACTTATTTTTTAATAATAATAAAAAAATACAAACAGGTTTCCAAGGTAGGTTTCATCCACATTAATAACAAAGTAGCTGTCAATTGAGGACCTAATTGATTTCATTGTAAATTAGATAAGTTATTCTTTATCAACATGGACCGGCTAAGTACACACATTTGTGACTTAAGTATTGATTACGAACTTATACGTGCTTATTAGATAAAGAACAAAAAAAAGTTGTCATCATATCCTTTTCAAATATCGGACGGTTGGAGGATTAAAGTGCCGCTGCACCTTATCTTCAGCAGACATCTTTTAAAAAACAAACACGAGAGTATTCTCTTTTTGTCCTCTTTTTTATCGTAACCCGCAGGATGTGTTAGAGTCGTTAAGCCCTTTTAAGTGTTAAACCATGTAACTGAATATTCGAGCGTTTAAGGGTCCAATCTATTTGTTAAATAATGTAAAAAAATTAAATCGTAGAGAAATCGGACCCAATGACATGAATTTCGTTAAAGACGTCAGGTAGGCAAAAAATATCGATGACATGTCGCTCGGTTAACTAACCGGGGGTGACGCCGGGAGACGGCTTTTGTCCAGGTACCTTAAGCAGTTTTTTTAATCAAAACCGGGCCTTCAGCAGACATCATTAAAGTATTAAATTTACGATAAGGTTACCTCTGTAAAACAATTTTAGGATACTTATGTTTAATTCGGAGATAAAGCTAAGTAGCGTGAAGTTACGTTCATCACTTTATACATTTACATCAAAATGTACCTATTATATAACATGTCAATCCTTCCCTATTAAAACACAAAGATGATCGTGCGTGCATGTGAAAGCTGTGCCAGTGATAACGTCGATATCAACATAACTTAGTACTCGGCTTTCTGTAGCAACAATATGGAGTGGCTTAAGCTATTAGTTAGGCTCAAGTCGATGTTCGTGCTCTCAGAATTGTTGGAGTGCCAACATTCCCATCTAATCCTTTTCGCACATAGGCGGCTAAAGAAAAAGTATCACAATTTGATAGATCTGGTGATAAGGCACAGCGGTGCGAGCGTCACGCCAAGTTGCACTCGCGATACATTCCGCGCCTTAAGAAAACCGTGTGCGAATTATACAGATCTGGTGCACTTTTTGTTCGACTAAACAACACGTTAATTGCTGTAGATTAAAATCTATAGTAAAATAATTTGTTTTACAGCGGCTAGTGTTGCATTTTCAATCGAAAATTTAAATTGTTTGGACACAAACGTTTCTTTGATATAAAATACTACAAATATGTATCAGGTATATAATTAAGTACATTGAAATTTCGATATCCTACGTATCTTTTTATCTCTTTATGTTTTCAAGGATATTTGGTTTTGTTAATATGTTCTGTATTTTTTGTACTGAACGTAATCAGCGAGAAGTTGCTACATGAATATTTTGACGTCATTTAGTATAGGTACACTAGCACTTCAAAATGTCAAAAAAAAGTCGCATATTTGTTTAGATCTCATCTTAAATCAAAGCATAATAGTTCAATAGAGATACACAAAACATATATTTCATAACCATATTTTTAATTAAGTTATTAAATATGCTTTTTTTTTGTTCCGAATTTGTTTAACAGGTTTATTTCTCTAAACAGTATTCGAACATTCACAATGAGAAACAAGTAGATAAATATAAAAGCTTACAAAAATGAACGAGGATCGGAACCGTTACAGATTTTATTCATTGTACATGTATTTATTTAATCGGGTTAAATCTAAGATAATTCTTAGATATAGATATATGTATGTCATAGAAATTAAACAACGTTGGATTTCTTTCTTGAATAACATTGTTCAATGGTTGGAATATTTTTGTCTGCTCTTTATATTTCCGATGGCAAGATCCGATAAAATACCTCGCTATAAGTGTGTTTTGCATACCGCAGCCCTGTTGTTAGTAAAATACGCATATTTTAAGAATGATTTTTTTACACTTTTCCCTACAACTTTAAAAAAAGAACCTAAATAATCAAAAACATCATTGAAATGATTTCAATAATAATTAAAATTTTCTTATATAAAAAACCCACCCGAAAAGTTTGTGGAATTTCATCTATTTGTCAAGTTTTTATTGAAATTGCTTAACGGAAAGTGGGTGAAATCCAATAAACCGGATTCATCCCCTAATTTGTCACCCTTAGAGGCGTAATTAATATTTTCTTCAAATTTGAATAAGACTACTACTAAAGTACATTGTTTCCAACAAAAAAATAATCATCGAAATCTATTCACAAATTTCGGATTAATCACGTAACATATTACAAACACAAACGCATACGTACAAAAAGCTATAGTCGGAATGAGAAGTTTCTCCTTTTTTTGAAGTTGGTAAAAAGTGACTTTCTTTTCCCCCCGAAGTGTATGAATAAGCGCGATAATAAAGACCTTTTAAAAGCTACATAAAAGAA